TGGTCAAAGAATTGTTGGTCATACTCAAAAATTAGAAACAATCTAAATATGCAATAAGAAAATATTTAAAATAAATTATATTGCATTCATCTGATGTAATATTATACAGACATTTTGAAAACTCTTGTAGTCAAGGGATAAGTAGATTACCTTTGGCATATTAAATGAGTAAGACTAATACTAAGTTGATATACCGATTGTGATATAATTTTCTTTGGTTTTTAAACATTTTTATATACATAGGGAAAAAGATTAAAAACTTATGAAACCAAAATACTCAGTTTGGTTATCACAGTCTAGTGTGATTATGGGTATTTTTTGTTGTTTTAATTTCATATTTTTCTGTTCAAAATTCCATTGCTTATTTAATTAAAAAAAAAACTTTAAAATCATATGACCAGCACAGAAAAAAATATCATTAGGCAAAATTGCCATGACTATAGACCTTTCTCCCTACAACTGTTGTTTCTAAATGCCATGAAGGAATTTAGACTCTCAAGCTATTTCTGGCCTGGGCAGTGCCGGGCTATATCTTACTCTCTGTGGGAGGACGAGTGTGTGAGTTCCATGGTATTTAGGAACCCAGATATCATTCATTTGCAGCCTCTCCATCAGCACGAAGGCCACGTTTGCGCTGTGACAGGAATTTGAAATATGAGTTATTTCTTATTACTTGTGTATTGGGTTTCAAAAATGCACAAGCTCCACATCGCATGCATTTAAAGAACCTCTTTCAAGATATCTTGCACCCAAAAAACATCAGGAGCTCAAAATGCCCATTAAGAGAGAGAAACTATCCATATCCATGACATTTTCAGGTTTCAAATACTTTTCACATGAATGTAAAGACAAAATTAAAAATTAATGTCTATTCAAATTGAATGGAGTAACTCTGTTGACAGAAGAAACTGGTCAGGCCACACTAAGAAGAGGCTGAGTTCTCCAGTGGGACATGGAGCTCCCAGTCTCAGTGACCCCACAGGCCATGGGCTCCTCTGTGTGGCACATATGTCCCACGCCAACTCCCTGTTTTCCTGACAAAGAAGCTAAACTTTCGATGAGTCCAAAATCACATAGAGAGGAATCAGGAGGATGTCCCTCTGTCTCCAAAACCATGCTCACTCTAAAGATGGGGAAATTAAATTAGAGCATGCATAAGTAAAATGTATTGAATATTACTGGCAATAATTACAGATTTCCATCCCTCAAAGGAAGCCATGTCTCATCCATATGCAAAACTGACATCATTAGGAGAAGAATGTGATTAAGCCAAATTATACTATGGGAAGATTGTCACGATGCATAACCAAGTACCTCTGCATCATCAATGCCAATCTCAGGGCAGGGAGCTGTGAGGCTACACACAGGGCAAGTCACAGCATGGAAACCCCCTCGATAACCCCTGTCATTGAATCCCACCCCGAACTGCTCCTGCAAGACTCTGCTTGCCTCCTGTGCCTCTACCCACCTCCAAACTCTTCCCATTGCCCTGACCAACACTGAGCTTCTTTGCAGTTCTTCCTCTGCCCTGCACCCTTCAGACTGGATCGTTCCTTCATCTCCTTCTTTCCTGCCTGATGCTCCAAAGAGCCCTTGTTACAATATTAGATACTAACAGCAATGTCTCATGGAAGTCGCATACATGGCATGCCAAAATAGAGAAAATAAATTGAGATAATAAAGTCAGGCCAGGCACGGTGGCTCATACCTGTAATCCCAGCACTTTGGGAGGCCGAGGCGGTGGATCACGAGATCAGGAGATGGAGACCATCCTGACTAAAACGTGAAACCCAGTCTCTACTAAAAATTGAAAAAATTAGCCGGGCATGGTGGCGGGCGCCTGTAGTCCCAGCTACTTGGGAGGCTGAGGCAGGAGAATGGCGTGAACCCGGGAGGCGGAACTTGCAATGAACCGAGATAACGCCACTGCACTCCAGCCTGGGTGACAGAGTGAGACTTCATCTCAAAATACTAATACTACTACTACTAATAAAGTTAAAACAACAGAAATCTCTAACTACCCTTTAAAATATCGTAAAATCAGTGCACTAAGCTTCATATTGTGCTTTTTAGGAAGCGCCTCAAACCCTTATTCAGAAACTATGTATTTTTACTTTAAATGCAATGTTTTAGGTCTTCATGTTCCCCTTTAATGTTTAACATAATTGCATTGAACCTTATAGTCTTGTGAAAAAAACAAGCAATTCTTTACCTTTCTTTTGTCTATAATACATTTGATGTGTATATGAATTTTTATAGATAGCTGGATCTGAAATTTTGTGAAGCAATACTATTTAAATATTTGTGCTAAAATCTTTCTACAGATTTCCTTTCTTTATAAATTTTACTTCAGTTAATTCTCATAGTATTTCATACTATATAAGAAATCATATGCATATAGCTCATATTACATATTCGAATACACATATGTATATGCTTTTGGGTAGTGTGTGTAAAAGAAAAAATAAAAAAATTACTCCCAGTATTATTTCTTATTTAATAGCATATATAAATGCATTTTTCCGATTTATATTTCTTCTTTATATTTAAATTATATTTTTTTGGTGCTGAGATAACTGGCTACCCATATACAGATTAAAACTGAACCCCTTCAGGCCAGGCGTGGTAGTTCAATCCTGTAATCCCAGCACTTTGGGAGGCTGAGGTCAATGGATCATGAGGTCAGAAGATCGAGACCATCCTGGCTAACATGGTAAAACCCTGTCTCTACTAAAAATACAAAAAATTAGCCAGGTGTGGTGGCAAGTACCTGTAGTCCCAGCTACTCAGGAGGCTGAGGCAGGAGAATGTCATGAACCTGGGACATGGAGCTTGCAGTGAGCCAAGATCGTGCTACTGCACTCCAGCCTGGGTAACAGAGCGAAACTGTGTCTCAAAAACAAACAAACAAACAAAGAAAAGAAACAAAACAAAAAAACTGAACCCCTTCCTTACATCATATACAAAAACTAATTCAAGATGAATTAAAGACTTAAATGTAAAACTCAAAACTATGAATAAACTAGAAGACAATCTAGGCAATACCATTCAGGACACAGGCACGAGGAAAGATTTCATGATGATGACACCAAAAGCAATCGCAACAAAGGAAAAATTTGACAAATGGGACCTAATTAAACTAAAGAGCTTCTGCACAGCAAAAGAAGCTATCAACAGAGAAACAGACAACCTACAGAATGGGAGAAAATATTTATAAACCATGTATCCAACAAAAATCTATTATCCAGCATCCATAAAGAACTTAAACAAATTTACAAGAAATCAAACAACCTCATTAAAAAGTGAGCAAAGGACATGAAAAGACACTTTTCAAAAAAAGACATACATGCAGCCAGCAATCATATGACAAAAGGCTCAACATCACTGATCGTTAGAGACCTGCAAGTCAAAACCACAGTGAGATATGCCATCTTACACCAGTCAGAATGGCTATTACTAAAAAGTCAAAAAAATCACAGACGCTGGCAACGTTGTGGAGAAAAACGAATGCTTATATACTGTTGGTAGGAGTGTTAATTAGTTCAACGATTGTGGAAGACAATGTGGCAATTCCTCAAAGACCTAAAGATAGAACTACCATTGTACCCAGCAATTCCATTACTGGGTATATACCCAAAGGAATAGAAATCATTTTATTACGAAGACACGTGGACGTGTATGTTCATTACAGCACTATTCACAATGACAAAGACATGGAATTAACCTAAATGCCCATCAATGATAGCCTGGATAAAGAAAATGTGGCACATACACACCATGGAATAGTATGCAGTCATTAAAAAGAAGAAGATCCTGTCCTTTGCAGGGACATGGATGAAGCTGGAGGCCATCATCCTCAGCAAACTAACACAGGAACCGAAAACCAAACACCACATGTTCTCACTTATAACTGGGAGCTAAATGAGGAGAACACATGGAGACCTGGGGGGAAACAACACACACTGGGGTCTGTCGGAGGATGGAGGGTGGGAGGAGGGAGAGAATCACACAAAATAACTACGAAGTAATTGGCTTAATACCTGGGTGATGAAATAATCTGCACAACAAAGCCCCATGACACACAGTTACCCATGTAACAAACCTGCAGATGTACCCCGAATTTAAGTAACACTACATTAAAAAGTTAATAACAATTTAAAAATTATATGAACTAAAATATTATCAATTATTTCAATGATAGTTTTCTTAAATCCTGTATATATCCCAGGGAGTCAGAGCTACACGGTAGCTACAATAGGGTGGGAAGCATTTCTTCCTCAGACAAAAATAACAAAAATCTCTTTCTTGGCTACTGGTAGTTGCATTTATTATAATTAGGGGAATACTAAGAAGAGTTCATGCACCATCCACACCACCCACTCTCCTTCCTGCACAGATTCTTCAGGGCTCCATGTTTCTGAAACAGGAACAATGCCTTCCATGCACAGTAGGGGACAGGGCTCAAGGGCAGTAACCACAGTCGCTGAATGCAAGAGGCGCAAATACTGCCAGTGCAAATACTGCCAGTGCAAATACTGCCAGCAGCTCTTCTCTTGAAAACAGTTGTAGTGGAGAAGAGAGAGGAGAAAACAAAAGCCTCCCTGTTGCAAGGGCAGAGGAGAAGGACACAGTTATTTCTGCTTTAAAGACTGGTGACTCATGCCTGTAATCTCAGCACTTTCGAGACCAAAGCGGGCAGATCACTTGAGGTCAAGAGTTCAAGACCAGCCTTGGCCAACATGGTGAAACCCTGTCTCTACTAAAAACACAAACATTACCCAGGCATGGTGGTAGGAATGCAAATTAATTCAACCATTGTGGAAGACAATGTGTCAATTCCTCAAAGACCTAAAGACAGAACTACAAATGGACCCAGCAATCCCATTACTGCATATACACCCAAAGGAATGGAAATCATTTTATTATGAAGACACACGGACACGTACGTACATGCCTGTAGTCCCAGCTACTCAAAAGGCTGAGGCAGGAGAATCACTTACACTCGAGAGGCAGAGATTGCAGTGAGTCAAGATCGTGCCACTGTACTTCAGCCTAGCTGACAGAGCAATATTCCATCTAAAAAGAGAGAGAGACAGAGAGAAAAGAAAGAAGAAATGATGAAAGAAAGAAAAAAAAGAAAGAAATTAGTTCCCATTCAGCTATATTTCCTTACTAGAAATTCAAGAATTAACTAGAATAAGCATACTGAGGTTGAGGTTGCAAAAAGCAAACAACAAAAAAAGAACAGCCTAAATCGACCTTCAGTACACCCTGAGGGTTTCTTTCTAATTAATGAGTGCATTTCCTCACCCTCTTTTTTAGAGACAGAGTCTTGCTCTGTGGCCCAGGCTAGAGTGCAGTGGCATAATCTTGGCTCACTGCAACCTCCACTTCCTGTGTTCAAGGGACCTTCCCACCTCAGCCTCTGGAGTAGCTGGAACCTCAGGTATGCACCACCACAATTGGCTAGTTTTTGTAATTTTTGTTGGGATAGTGTTTTGCCATGTTGCCCAGGGTGGTCTCGAACTCCTGGGCTCAAGCGATTCACCCATCTTGGCCTCCCGAAGTGCTGGGATTACAGGCGTGAGCCACTATGACCAGCCTCTATTATTGTTAACAATTAAACATGCAACTGATAGCCTTCTGCTAGACCTGGAAATTTTACCATAGTCTGCTTTTCCACTCCAAACAAAAACGCTCCAAATTCTACATTTCTACAACCATGAAACGCTGGAAGTTTTTTTTTTTTGACGTGTAGCCAAACAGGCAGACGGTTATTATGAACTTTGCTTTTAAGCTGCTCCTGCTCCCTTATACAAATCATTTATCCTAATTTTATTATAAACCACTATATGATATATAGCTTGTTTGCCACAAAACATGCATTTTTCATACACATACACCTTTTCTGTAAATATAGCCCTACAATTTAAAGCACTCTATAAGTCCTGGAGTTAATGATATTAGGGGCCAATTATGCGTCTATTTCTTATTTTGATCCAAAATTCATACCAGTCATGTCTTGCTAAATCCTTCCTAAAAGTTAAAAGAAAATCACCTCTTTCCTCCCCATTTTTATAAGTCACACTACAATCTTCTCGGTTGTCAGTAATCAAAACCTTGGGTCCTCCTATGGTCACTCATGTCCTTCCCCTGCACACCAGTTTTCTCAAAAGTCTGTGCACTTCAGTCTTGCATCTGGTGTCCCATTCCTGGCACAGGTCTTGATCATCTCTCAATGGAAATAGCATGTTGACTTCCTATTTTCCTTACACCGCTTTTTAAATTTTTTATTGAAGCATAATAGTTGTACATAGTTTGGGGGTGCATGCGATAATTTGAACATTGATATAATTTGCAAAGATCAAATCAGTGTACCTGTTATATCCATCACCTTAAATATTTGTCCTTTCTTTATGCTAGATATGTTCAAATTATTCTCTTGTATTTTGAAATGTATGTTTGATTACTGTAAACTCTACTTATCGTACTGATCTATCTAATGCTAGGTCTTACTTCTTCTCTCAAACTATACATTTTTACCCATTAATCAGCTGATCTTCTTCCTCCTTCCCCTCTACCCTTCCTGGTCTCTGATAACCACCAATCTACTCTCTGTCTTCATGAAATCTACCATTTTAGCTTCTACATATGAGTGAGAACATGAAGTATTTGTCCTTTCATGTCTAGCTTATCTCACTTAACATGACCTCCTGTTCCATCCAACTTGCTACAAATTATAAAATTTTATTCTTTTTATGGCTGAATAATATTCCATTGTGCATATTTACCACATTTTCTCTATTCATTTGTCCACTGATGGGCACTTAATTTGATTTCATATTTTGGCTATTGTGTTTAGTACTGCAATAAACATGGGAGTGCAGGCATCTCTGCCACATATTGATTTCCTTTCTTTTGAATATATATTCAGTAACAGAAATGCTGGGTCATATGGTAGTTTTTTTTTTTTTTTTTTTTTTTTAGTTTTTGGACGAACCTCCATACTGTTCTCCATAGTGGTTTTACTCATTTACATTTTCACCAACAGTGCTCAAGCGATCCCCTTTCTCTGCATTCTCACCAGCGTCTGTTATTGCCTGTCTTTTTTGATAAAAGCTATTCTAATTGGGCTGAGATCGTATCTCATTGTGGTTTTGATTTGCATTTCTCTGATAACTAGTGATGTTGAACATTACTTCATATACCCTTTGAATATTCGTATGTCTTCTTTGGAAAAATTCTATTCAGATTTTCCCCCATTTTTTAATCTGATTTTCCTATTGAGTTTTGAGTTTTTATATTAAATATATTCTGGTTATTAATCCCTTGTCAGATGGGTAATTTGCAAATACTTTCTCCCATTCTGAGGGTTGCCTCTTCACCTTGTTTATCATTTTCTTTGTTCTGCAAAAGTTTTTCAGCTTCATGTAATCCCATTTGTCTAGTTTTGCTTTGGTTGTCTGTACATTTGAGATCTTACATAGAAAATCTTTGCCCAGACCACTGTTCTGGAGCATTTCCCCAAAGTTTTATTCTACTAGTTTCACAGTTTAGGCTCCTAGATGTAAGGGTTAAATACATTTTGATTTTATTTTTGTATATGGTGAGAGATAGGGTTTCATTCTCCTGCATATAGTGATCCAGTTTTCCCAGCACCTTTTGGTGAAGACCGTCCTTTCCCACTGTATGTTTTTGGTGGGTTCATCCAAGATGAGTTGGCTGTAAATTCCTGGATTTATATCTGGGCTCAAAGTCATTCACAAAGGTTAGAAATAACTTCTTCCAAATTTCTGTTAGTGTGGATATTTTAACTTACTCTTATGAATTACCAGCATTTTTAACGGCAATTGGAATGAGGAATCCTTTCCAGAAGGTTTTCAACTGACTTTACCCAGGTCCATCAGAGGAATCCCTATGTACAGCAGCTATAGCCTTACAAAATGTGTTCCTTAAATAGTAAGACTTCGATGCCAAAATTATGTCTTGTTACCTGGGCCACAGAGTAACTGTTGTGTTAGCAGGCAGGAAAACAACATCAGGGACCTTGCACATCTATGTTGTAGACCTTAAGTGACCAGGTGCGCTGCCAGTGAGCAGTAATGTTTTGAAAGGAATCTGTATCCCAGAGCAGCAGGTCTCAACAGTGGGCTTATAATATTCACTAAACCATGCTGTAAAGAGATGTGCTGATATATAAGCCTTTTGTTCCATTTCCAGAGGACAAGAGGGTTGATTTAGCATAATTCTTAACGAACCCTAGGGTTTTCAGAATGTTAAATGAGCCTCGGTTACAACTTATAGTCACCAGATGCATTAGCCTCTAACAAAAGAGTCAGCCTGTCCTTTGAAGACTTGAAGCCAGGTATTGACTTCTCCTCTCTAGCTACTAAAGTCTTAGATGTTATCTTCTTCCAAAAGGAGGCTGTTTCATCGACACCAAAAATCAGTGATGTATGTAGCCACCTTCACCAATTATCTTAAGTAGGTCTCCTGGATAACTTGCCACAGCTTCTACACTAGCACTTGCTGTTTCACCTTGCACTTTTATGTCCTGGAAACAGATTCATTCCTTAAACCTCATGAACCAACCTCTGCTAACTTCAAACATTTCTTCTGTGGCTTCCTCACCTCTCTCAGCCTTCATAGAATTGAAGAAAGTTAGGGCCTTGCTCTGGATTAGGCTTTGGTTTAAGGGACATGTATTAGGCCATTACTATAAAGAAATACCTGATGATGGGAAATGTACAAAGAAAAGAGATTTAATTGGCTCATGGTTCTGCAGGCTGTACAGAAAGCATAGCACTGGCACCTGCTTCTAGGGAAGTCTCAGGAAGCTTATCATTATGGCAGAAGGTGAATGGGGAATAGGCTGATCACACAGAGCAGAAGCAAGAGCGTGGCATGGGAGGTGTCATATACTTTTTCTTTTTTTTTTTTTTTTTTTTTTTTGAGACGGAGTCTCGCTCTGTCGCCCAGGCTGCAGTGCAGTGGCCAGATCTCAGCTCACTGCAAGCTATGCCTCCTGGGTTCACGCCATTCTCCTGCCTCAGCCTCCCAAGCAGCTGGGACTACAGGCGCCCACCACCTCGCCCGGCTAGTTTTTTTGTATTTTTTAGTAGAGACGGGGTTTCACCGGGTTAGCCAGGATGGTCTCGATCTCCTGACCTCATGATCGGCCCGCCTCGGCCTCCCCAAGTGCTGGGATTACAGGCTTGAGCCACCGCGCCCGCGGCCATATACTTTTAAACAACCAGATCTTATAAGAAGTTGCTATCACAAGGAGAGCACCAAGGGGGTGGTGCTGAACCATTCATGAGAAACCTGCTCCCATGATCCAGTCACCTCCTACCAGGCCCCACCTCTAATACTGGGGATTATAATATTCAACGTGAGACTGCATCTTCAGCATGAGACTGGGGCAGGGACACACACCCAAACTATAACACGAAGGCTGAGGCTTGTTTGATCTTCCATCCAGGCCACTAGAACTTGCTTCATGTCAGCGATGAGGCTGTTTCACTTTCTTATCTTTCCTGTGTTCACTGGAGTAGCATTTTTAATTTCCCCCAAGAATTTTTTTCCTTTGCAGCCAGGTGCCAAAGCACATGCCAATAGTCCAGGCTACTTGGGAGGCTGAGGAGGGAGGATCCCTTGAGCCCAGGAATTTGAGGCCAGCCTGGACAACATAGCAATACTCCATCTCAAAAACAAAAGCAAAACAACAACAACAAAAAAACTTTTTCTTTTTATTCAAAACTTGGCCGTTTGTCACAAGAGGCCTAGCCTTTGCTCTCTCTTGGTTTTCAACATGCCTTCCTTACTAAGCTAATCATTTCTAGCTTTTGATTTAAAGTGAGACACATGCAACTCTCCCTTTCACTTGAAGACCTAGAGGCAACTATAGAATATCAATTGACCTGATTTTAATATCGTTGTGTTTCAACAAATAGAGAGGCCCAAGGGAAGGGAGGGAAATGGGGGAGCAGCCTGTAAGTGGACCACTCACAATGTACAGATGTATCAATTACATTTGCTGAATGATACAGGCACAGTTTGTTGTGCCCCAAAACAATAACAAGAATAACATCAAAGATCATTGATCACAGATGTGATATGACAGACATGATACTAATAAAAAAGCTTGAAATATTGCAAGAATTACCAAAATGTGACACAGAGACAAGAAGTGAGTCCATGCTTTTAGAAAACTGGTGAGGATAGATTTGCTCAAAACAGGGTTGCCACAAACCTCCAATATGTAAAAAGAAAAAAATATATAGTATCTGCAATGCACAATAAAGTGAGGCACACTAGAACAAGGTATTCCTGTAAGAACTGAAATCTGTAGTTCACATGAGGGTTAACTCTTTTTGTATTACATTCCATGGATTTTGACAAATAGATAATGTCCACCGTTATAGTACCATTGAGATGACTTACTGCCCCACAAACCTTCTGCGCTCCACCTCTTCATCCCTCCTTCTCCCCTACTCCCCGGTAACCACACATCTTTTTAGTGTCTCTAGCCTCTTCCAGAACATCACATAGTTGGAATCAGACAGTGGGTAGCCTTTTTAGACTGGTTTCTTTCGCTTAGTACAATGCATTTAAGGTTTCCCATGTCTTTTGGTGGTTTGCTAGTTCATTTATTTTTATCACTGAATACTATTCCATGGTGTGGATGTACCACAGTTTGTCTATCAATTCACCTATTGGAGGGCATCATGGTTGTTTTCAATTTGGGGCAATTATAAATAAAGCTCCTATAAACATGCATGCACAGGTTTTTGTATGAACAAAATAATTCAACTCATTTGGGTAAATACCCAGGAGTGATGAGAAGGTAGAGCATAAGGGATTTTTAGTACAGTGAAACTATTGTATCATATTGTAATGGTGCATACATGACATTTTGCATTTGTCAAAACCCACAGAAAGTACTGTACAACACAGAGTGAATCCTATCAGAAACTGTGTTACATTAATAATAATGTGTTGATATTGGTTTATCAATTGCAACAAATGTGCCACACCAATGCAAGGAGAAACCATGTCTTGAGAAGGATATGGGAACTCTCTGTACTACCTATTCCATTTTTCTATAAGTTCTATAAACTTAAAGCTGCTCTAAAAATAAGGTCTATTAATTTTAGAAATGAGTATGTGAAGTTGATAGTCCAAGAAACTCAAATATGCGATCTTTTCTTGTAACTGATGCCAATAATAGATTCTGTCCATCCTCATCATTAATGATTCCCGAAATATACACCTGCTAGAAGAATCAGGCTCAAGCAAAACCATGAGAAACCTTTTCTGAGATGCTCTCTTCCTTTTGACAGTTCCTTAGTTACAAAAACTTTGGTGACTTTGATAATGTCCCTCCTGTCTCTTTTACTGCAGTTTGATTTAATTGCTAAAAATACCAAATACCAAAGACTGTTTATAAAAAACCTACCAAATACCAAAGACTGTCAGGTGGTTTGCGTATGTTATCTCCGACTCTTATGACAACATTTCGAATTCGGTAGCATTACCACCACTTGACAGGTTGAGAAACTGAGCCAAAGAAATTAAGGAACTTGCCCAGGATTATGCTGCTAGCAGAAGACAATTCAAGAAAGTAAACCCAACTATGATTTCAAAACCTTCCTAATATCTCCACAACACCTAAGGACCCAATGTCTTTCGACATTATCTCAAATGATATTATTTGATTTAGGAGCCAGTGAATATATAAATATGAAAAATATTACAAAGCTAGCATGTCTTGCTCATAATGTCATAGAAACTAGAGAGCAAACTTCTCATGTTATACTTACGGAAAACCCAGAAATATTAGTTAACTGGATTGTCCAACACTCTGAAGGTGCCTGGAAGGAGAAGCAAGATGGGAGCTCAGTTTCCTTGATACTAAACCCATTGTTTTTCCCATGAAGTCAGTGTCCTCTCTAGAGACCTCATCATCACCGCAATCATCTTTCAGGTTTACAGTGAGCTACCTAGTCAGGCTTGAACTTTCATTTGTTTCCACATTTAAAAATAATATTTTACATCCCTCTAAAGCAACCACCTCTTCTGAAAGAACAGAAAAAGAAAAAGGATTTGCAGACCGTTCTTCGGAGACTATAAATTTCCCTTGAAGTATTAACACAATCTATTAGGCCATATTACAGTCAATTGTGCAGAAGAAGAAAACCTATTCAACAACATTATTTAATGGCATTTTGATGTGCTATTTGCTAGACACAATGATGAATGCAAGGGTTGAGCAATAAAGTGGTATGGAAAGCAAACAGCTCTCCTGTGATGTTTACTTCCCAGGCTTAAATGAGCTCAATGCTCACAAATGATTTGCCTTGACATTGGAATCCAACTGGAGTCTGGAATTACTGTAACTGTTTTCGGCTTGGGTGATTTAATCAGCAAATCTTCAATAGTGTACTATGCATGTACTGAACTGATTCCAGACTGAGCAGCCTGATTTATACACACTACTTGCAGACGACCATTTGTGGGAGGCTCACTAGCATCTGTTCACCAGCATCTTCATAAGGCAGATGCCCGTGGTAATGTGTCAGAACAATTGAAGTCTATGCTTTGTATCAGTAAACCCAAACAAAGAGACATACACAGGAGATGCTTCAAGGGACAGGATTTTTGTTGACGGTGGTGTTTTATGAGTTTTAAATAAATCTAAAATCGTTCATTCACTTATTTAACTAATAGTTCTGTGCACTTGCACTATGATCAAGCATTGTGCTAGACTCAGAGAAGTAAGGGCAGAAGGCAGAGAAAATGAGAGGGAGTTAAGAAGTGGCTCCTCCAAGCATAGAATAAAACTGTCAGGTCATATCAATCAGTTGAACACAATCCAAAAAAGAGAAGCCTCAAAACATTGGGACCCCTGATCACCATTGGAATGTGGGTTTCTCACATCTGTGTGGTGGAAGGAGCCATTCAAAATACTCGCAGAGATTTATCTTTTTCTGGTCGCTGTGTTTTATTTTATTTTGTTTTACTTTAAGTTCTTGGATACATGTGCAGAGTGTGCAGGTTTGTTACATAGGGATACATGTGCCATGGTGGTTTGCTGCACCTATGAGGGTCGCTGTGTTTTATAGTCACTACTCCCACCCCTGCTTTTCATGCTATTTGGTGGATGAAATGCCCCACTCCTAGCCTCCTAGAAGAGAGATATCAGGGTCCAAAAAAGGACACAGCCTACCAGGCCCCTCCTGGCTTTGAGTTCTGAGGTCTTAATGCCTTGGAGAAACACGGGAGACAGGAGACAAAATGTTCAGGAAACGGGGTGTGGCAAGAGTGGCTTTCTCTTTTCTCCTGATCATGCCACATCCCCACTGTTAGGAAGATTCTCTAAGGTTTAGAAAGGGAAGAGAAAAGGTGGGAGCGGAGTTATGGATGATGGAGGATCCTGTGCCCCGATTTCTAGCAGAAACCCCACGGATGCACCAAAGCCAGAACAAGGATTAACTCGAAATTGGATCGCGGGAGACAGGGCTTCGGATAGCGCTGACAAGATGTTTGTGCTTTGGTGTTGCACAGAGAGGCAGGAAGATCCCACTTGTGTGGCACCTGGTATGGAAGAGAGTGACCATCCCTGGGGGCATAAGGGAAAACACAAAGGCAATCTCAGGTGGCTGACAGCAGGACTGAGTGTAATCATGACGGTCTCAGCAGACATGACTTGTCAGCTTGAGTGACTTCAGGACTGGATACATCTTCCCCCAGTGTCTTACAACATTTGTCCATAGACTTCTAGTCCAGCCATAGGGAGAAAGAGGATCCTAAATATCTGAGATTAAGTTTATGCCAGCTTAGCTAAATGGAAACTCAAAAAAAAAAAATTACCTTGAATTACGGAAAAGCAAGAAGAAATTTGTATTTCTTGGAGCATCTCTGTTATGGAGTGAGACAAAAAGCTATTACACCTGATGGGTAAGTTTTGAGGAACTCCAAAAAATTAAAGTTTCAAGTCCTTTTTCCATCTCACCACCCCACCCCCCCAAAAAGAGATGTCATTAAAAAAATTCCTTCTGTAAAAAATTTTGAGAAGTATCCTCCTTATTCCTTTAAACAGCTCAAAAAAAGGAAAACGCAGTGGAAACAATTTCAGATAGAATTAGAGTTTTGGAAAAGGATGTCATCCTGAAAAGTGCTTGGCTTTGCAGACTCCGATCGATGGAGCCAGCCCCGGGCCTTTCCCTGACCAGCTGCCCACATAACCCACTGCAGGTGGCTGTGTCCTCACTGTGACGCAGCTGGGCAGTGAGCTCTGCCCTGAAAAGGTCCCTGTGTGGACCCAGACCCCCTCCACATGCTCCACCCACTCCTCTGAGGACACTTGCGGGCAGAGGCTTACAGGAGTCAGGGGCCTCTCTCTGTGCAGGAACTCCAGCATCACTTAGGGTTCTTAGAAAAACAGAACCAGTGGGATAATAGAGACAGATGTGGTAGGGGAACTTATTTTTAAAGGAATTGGCTCACATGACTGGGGACAGCCAGTCTGAAAAGTACAGGGCAGCCTGGAGACCCAGGGAAGAGCTGATGTCATCAAGGGCACCTGAAGGCAGAGTCCCCTCTTCTCCAGGGACCTCAGTCTCTTTTCCTTTCAATGCCTTCAACTGATGGGAGGCTCATCTGCTTTACCCAGAGTCCACTGATTTAAATGTTAATTACATCTGAAAAATGCCTTCCCAGGCACATTTAGTCTGGTGTTTGACCAAACATCTGGGAACCATGGTCTAGCCAAGTCGAAGCCATGCAATGAGCCACTGTGACGTGGAGACAGAGCTGGAGCCCCTGCTGCTGCTCTTGGTCACAGCCAGAGCAATACTCACTATCCTCATGTTCTGTTTCCTCTCTAGACCCTCCCCCTGCTCAGTCCTGCCTGCTGGCCTCAGTGACTCACCTCCCTCCTCACGCCCTCATCAGCCTCTAGCCATGCACCTTCTCAGACCAGGGTTACTGTCTGCCTGCAGTTAGGATCCCATTCAGCCAAGAAGCATCAAAAGGTGCCCAGGTAGATCCCTGCGGTACAAGGGTCTCCTCTTGTCCCCACCCTAAAGCTCTGTGAACCACATCTGCAAGAGACCCTTTAACCATCAGCCCTGGACTACGGAGGAGAGACTCCCCCACACTTGTAGTGATGCTAGTGCCACTCGCTCCTGGAAACTGATGGGTCCTGGGCCTTCCCATGGAGCAGAAGTATGCACATCCTTCCTGCTATGCAGTCCAGTGCCATGCTCCCAAAGATTAATTCTAAATGACAATAATGGTGGTAGTGGTCATAACGATGATAATGGAGGTGATGCAGAATAAAGAAATTAGTTCCCATTCAGCTGAGGCATGGTGACTTATGCCTGTAATACCAGCACTTTAAGAGGCCAAGGAGGAAGATCACTTGAGGTCAGGAGTTGGAGACCAGCCTGACCAAAATGGAGAAACCCCGTCTCCACTAAAAATACAAAAATTAGCTGGACATGGTGGCGTGTTCCTGTAGTCCTAGCTACTTGGGAGGCTGAGGTAGGGGAATCACTTAAACTTGGGAAGTGGAAGTTGCAGTGAGCTGAGATTGTACCACTGCTTCCAGTTTTGGGGGACAGAGTGACGAGTCCATTTCAAGAGAAAGAGGAAAGAATAAGAGAGAAAGCAGGAGAGGAAGAAAGAAAGAAAGGAAGAAGAGGAAGGGAAGGAGGGGAAGGTAAGGAAGGAAGGAAGGGAAAGGGAAGGAAGGGACAGGGAAGGAGGGAAGGGGAAGGAAGGGAAGGGAAGGGAGGAGGAAGGAGGAGGAAGGGAAGGAAGGGAAGGGCAAGGGACAAGGAAGGAAGGAAGGGAAGAGGGAGGGAAAGGAGGAGGGAAGGAGAGGGAAGGAGAAGGAGAAGGAGGAGCAGGGAGGAAGGAAGAAGAGAAGAGAAAGAAAGAAAGAAAGAAAGAAAGAAAGAAAGAAAGAAAGAAAGAAAGAAAGAAAGAAAGAAAGAAAGGTTCCCATTCAGATATATTTGCTTGCTTCTAAAATTCAAGAATTAACTAGAATAAGCATACTGAGGCCTAGCACAGATGGTCACCCTTTTGCTTGGAAGGAAAGTAAGTTATTTTCATTAAATCCAGTTTATCAGATAACCTCAGGTATGTGAAATTTAACTCCAGTTTACTCACCAAAAACGAGAAGTCAAATAAATGCAATAGAAACAATCTAAAATGACTGTGACCTCTTTCTGCAAGATTGCGTGTTAACATGTAGACAATTTTATCCAGCAACTTTGATATTCTTTAAACTTAAATGTTTCTTTATGAAGAGAGCCTTGACAGAGATCTGGAGCTACCCGGGGAGCACACAGAACCCTCAAGAACTGACAGCAGTCAGCATAAGCTACGCAATGACCTTGTCATAAAACCCGTGGTAAATTTTGGTAGCGATGATAAAAGATTACTCCAAATCTTCTACCCTCACGTAGTAATTAGTATTAAAGGGTTTCCTAGGTTGGCAGATTTTTTTCCTGTGGTAGATTTAATTTGCAGATGGTTTGCTAAAACGAAAAGCAGACATACATTGAAAATCTATAAATGCATTTGTATGTAATGAATTGAAGCTGCTCCTAATTAGTAGAGGAAGAAAAATGCAGAAGGCGGAAGGATTTCTTTGGCCTTGGACAAAAGCATCTGAATCCATCTTACTTCCTTTAATATGCATGTGCCATGCTTGCAGAGCTCTATGCAAGGGTTGCTATCAGAGCTGTGGATTGGAGATTTTGCACCTCCCGGGGATGATACCTGTTTGTGTCCTTGACAGCTACTGGAAAATCATACAGTCCTGCAAATCCCATGAAAGAGGAATTTAAACACGTGTGCTA